AGCTTTTAACTGATTCAGATTGCACTGCTTTCAATCAATCGATCAAGAACTGTCACGTTGTTCCTTTGAATTGTATACATTTTAAAATTGTTTTATAGAAATTATTTAATCCATTAATATTGTAGACATAATCAAATAAATCGAATAAGTGATAATTAAAATATCAATTTTTTTATTGCGGGTACGGAAAAGTGCAGGAAATTAACGCCTTTTGTCAATGTAAAATTGTAAAATGTTTCTGTAAACTTTAGATTATATTGCAAGGTGTTAGAAAATGAAAATAAATTTAGTCTAGTCAAAACAAGGTTCAATATTATTCTTCAATCTTGTGTCATATATTAAGGAATCTCCAGATTTTCAATTTCTCATCATAATATTTTTAAATCCTTAATAAATTCGTGAGCTAGTGTACTCTTGAATATTATGTAATTGAATTTACGGCACCTTAAAGCTACCTCCACGGAATTTATCTCAGTCTTGTTCAAATAAATCTGTCAAGTACACATATTTCTTCTTCCTAGACAGATTTATTTCATGACATATTTACATCAAGATTTATCAAAAACATTTTCATAACTCAAATTCTTTATGTTATCTCCAAAAATTCAAATCGTCATAATCACGAGAATTTCCTTATCGGTTATTCTAAATTTAGCAGGTGTGAAAATATTCAAATGAAATCAACCGAGCCCCCCGGAATTTGATAAGAATTAATGCGTTTGTAAACTTTTTTTTAAAAACAACTTTGTCGCAGATTAAATCTTGTGATTCCAAAAGTATTCTGGATTAATTTTTATTTCCTGTTAAACTTTTAAATATATTATTGATGTTGTTTATAGCAAGCCTATCAGTGCCACTCTATGCATAGAATTTAAATTCAATGTAGGTACTAAACTCTGAGATGTGAATATAATTTAACTGTAACTGGATTAGATGCTCTGAATATCCCTAGAAACCTTAGATTAATTTTTTTTAAAAGGCCATTTAGAGATATGAGACATTTTTGAGCAAAAGCCTTCAAATATTTGATTGAAATAATATTATTTGTGCCGCAAGAGAACCTTTCCTGCAATCACAAAATCGGGAAATCCAAACGTATTAGATTAAAAGAAACTCAATGTATTATTCTGACTATTCATCTGCCTCGGGGTTACTATTACTATGCTTACATTTGTAGATGAAATTAGGTTGATATCAAATTCTCATTTAAAGTAATATTTAGGATATTTATTATTAGAGCAAGAAGATTTAATTAAAAGGATGTAGTCATGCTATTTTTGGCTTAAAAGTTATAAAAATAAATATTTGAAAAGTCCAAATATTAAAATATTTGTTAGTAATACTTTGAGAAGTGCCTCTTATCAAAAGATTTGTTACTTTATCATTAAGACTTTCCAAATTTACGACCTTACGAAGCACGTGCAGATATTTTGCTGAGTTTTCGTGTGTGAAACTTGACTTCAAATAGTTTGTAAAATTGATTAGCTATCTCTCTCGTGCTGTCGCTAATAAGGTTGTACAAATCTAATAATTTCAACAGTCTCAAGTTCAAGAATGACTTCACAATAAATTTCATAACGAAAAATACTTGAATTGTCGCACATTTCACCGTTGAGCACTCGATAAAATTAAGTATTTGTTAATCAATAACAAAATCTGTCAAAAATTTTCATCAGCTCATAGAAACAGTCTTAAAATGTACAATTAAGGTTATAACTCAATAAAAAAATATATACCTAAAGAAATGAAATAGCGGAGTCGATAAGAAAATTATTTTTGTGATAATTTTAAATCCTATACGAGAAATGTTGCCCCATATATGTGCTGTATTATAGATAAATGTGTAATGAACTTGCTTAAGACTTTAAATCGATAATCATGATGACTAATTGATGATTATGTTGTGTCGTAAAAAAATATTTGTAGCAGACTGATAACAATAATGAGGAGGCGACGAAGCTTACAGTGGAATTGCAAGATACAAACAAAGTTACTGACGAAGTAAACTACAGCGAACTCCCTCCGCCTCCCGATGGTGGTAAGTGCTTTGAGGATATTACAAAAATTTATGATAACAAAATTATTATTTTTTCTAGGCTACGGATGGGTAATAATTTCTATGACTGATTCAGAGCAACTGATTGCTTATTCATAATATTTTCTTCTCATTTAATTTCAATTTACTTCCTTCAATATACGAAAAGGTCATCGTTCTCGCATCTTTCTTCTGCAATTGTATTGTGGACGGAATAGTATATTCATTTGGTATTTTCCTCGATGATTTTTGTAAATATTTCGATGTAGGCAAAGGAACAATTTCATGGGCAGGCAGTTTGCTCTCAGGAGTGTACATGTGTGTTGGTATATGAATGAAAAATTTTACGATAACGTTTACAAATTTCTCACTTTTTCTTTTCTCTCTTTTGTGTGCATTATCTATTTTTAGGTCCAATTGTATCAGCACTAGCAAATAAGTATGGATGTCGTGCGGTGTGTATTGCGGGTAGTATAGTTGCAGCCTTAGCTTTTACGCTTAGTACATTATCAACAAATGTGAAAGTGTTTTTCATCACTTATGGTGTTATGGGTGGTGCTGGATTCGGTATGATCTACCTTCCAGCTATTGTTTTTGTTGGATACTATTTTGAGAAAAAGAGATCTTTGGCAACAGGTGAGTTACTTTTTACTATATTGACTTAAAATATCTAATTGACTACAACATCTTAAAGGAATCGCTGTTTGTGGAAGTGGATTCGGTGCGTTTGTTTTTGCACCACTATCGTCATTCCTTTTAGAAAAACTTGGCGGCTGGAAGAGTGCTAATCTTGTGCTTGCATGCATTCTTTTGACTTGTATTATCTGCGGTGGTAAGTATCATTGATATTTTGCCTTTACAAAAGATATAAGTTTTAATTTTATAACAGCCTTGATGCGTCCATTGCAATGGCCTGAAGGAACAAACATTCGAGAACTTCAACCACTTAATCTTGATCCCGGCGTTCAAAGCTCGAATTTAGCCATTAATAAAGTTCCAACAAACTCAACACTTCCAACAATTGAAGAGACAAAAGTAAGCCGTCCTATTAATCGTAGTATGATGGAACTTAAAGTTGAGGAGAGACAAAGAAGTCGTTTGAATTCAGAATCAGACATTGAAAGAATGAGAAGAAGGAAAAGTTCAGCCACCGGATCAAATAAAGCTTCTCGTACTGAACTGGATAAAGCAGTACCAGTAATGATGAGAAAGGATGTCTTCTACTCGGGCTCAGTACAAAATCTTAAGGAATTTCAGTCACAAAAGTCATTGACTGCTTATAGAAATTCAATCATTTCACTTAATAAGCTACACACAGGCTCAGTTGAACATCGTCAAGGACTAAAAGTAGAAGAAATTGATAGCGATGAAGCTAAAGGATGCAGTTCAATTCTTGGTTCCTTATTGGATGTTAGTCTGCTTAAAGATTGGACATTCATGTTCTTAGCTGTTTCTAATTTGTTCGGTAAGGCTTTAAGCTCAATTTTATGAAATACATAAATTTAATACTAGAATATCCATTTAGGTATGGCAGCACTTTTCGTGCCATTCTTCTATATTGTTGATTCCGCCAAACAACAAGGAATCGAAAATCCATCTTCACTGATTTCAATTATTGGAATAACCAACACATTTGGTCGTATTGCATGCGGATATGTAGCAGATTTCCCAGCAGTTAATTCACTTCTTTTAAATAATTGCTGTCTTGTGCTTTGTGCAGTTGCTCTTGCTGCTGTTCCTTTATGTACAACATTTGCAATGTATATGATAGCATCAGTTGTATTTGGAATTGGATTAGGTACGAATAGAATTTTAATTAAGTTCATTCAGATTTATCAAGTTTGACTTTTCAGCTGGTTACATGTCACTTACTTCCATTATCCTTGTCGATCTCCTCGGACTTGATAAACTTACAAATGCATTTGGATTACTTATCATGTTCCGTGGTGCTGCAGCTATTTTTGGTGCTCCACTTATTGGGGGCATTTATGACTTAACAAATTCATATTCAGCTTCATTCTTTGCTGCTGGTGGATTGTTTGCTGTTGCAGCAGTTTTCAGCTTTTTAGCTCCTGTGGTGGCGAAGTATAAGAAAAGTTAGAAAAATTTTCATATTTTTTTTGTTGTAAAGGTTCATAGAGGTGATTTTTTTGTAATAATTTAAATTAAGGCAATAAAAGCTATATTTTTACTATCTAGTATAAGAAGAAATTCTGTGTTTTTATTGCTAAAATTCAAGATCACTTTTGGTTTTTTATGAGACAATAATTCATCTAGTTCCAATTTGAACAAATTAGCAATCTCATCAAAGTGATATGAGCTATTTAACTGTCGCAATAAATTTAATGTCAACATATTAAGTTTATTTTCATCATTATTAAGCTGTGACTGATACCAGCTATAAAAGAAACATCTCAATTCCCAAAACTTAACATTTAAATATGAATTTTAAAAAGTATTGCTTAATTTTTCTTTTGATTGTTGTTTGTTTTTCGTCATTTGTGTCTTGTGGATGGGGAAGAGATTGTGATGCGAATGAAGGTGGTGGAGGAAGGAGACGAAGAACTACAACAACCACAGAGCGAACAAAACGAACAAAAAGTTCTAAAAACGATTCCAGCGATTAAAATTTGAATTTTTATTCAAAACGTTTAAAAATCTAGAATTCAACATTTTCCAATAATTAATCAGCTATGATTGAATAAAACAGACTAGAGCAAAGAATTGTTCTGATTTAAAATACCCAATTATCTTTCTTCTCAGCTGTCAGACATCAATTTTTAAATTACAATAATTGACTATCAAGTATTTACTAGAGTCAACCGAGTTGTGTGATAATAAAATTAATGAATAAAAAAATAAATTGAACCGCAACAAAAAATGATATTAAGTTGGATTTTTTGATCAATTTTACACTATAAATAAATAGAATTGAATAATAATATTTTCAGTGGGATATTTTGAACGCGACCCAATCAGTCTAAATATGGAGAAAAAAGTTCTTTTATTTGGGATTTTAATAATTCTTGCTGTCGCAACTGTAAGTCGGCATTAAACAAAAATGAACAAATTTTTGATATTTTCTGATCTTCACTAATCAAATTTTCAGCTTTCTCATCATATTTCTGAAGAGTCGATGTCAGAAGGACATAACATAAAAGTCAGACAATGTGGAAGAAATAAATCTTCAACATCATCGACTGTTGCTCCAGCAATTGATATTAGAACTGGGCTGAACAACACGGCAGGATAAATTTTTTACTTAATATTGTTAAATTTCCCATTTTTTATCAGTTTGTTTGAATATTTTAAATTGCTAAAAAGAAAGAAGATAGAAAAAGTGTTTAAAAATTAAAAACTTAGTTTTTCTATTTGCAATGATTTTATTGTTTCATAGTGAGCTAAAATAAACTTATCATGATGTAATATATTATTAAGTTTAAAAATAAATTTAGAATAGTCCATCAAATTAGCCAGAATGTTGCGTTAAGCAAAAAATGTCATTTTGAATCTACTTCTTATAAATGTTTCCTGATCCGAGACACCCTTAACCTCAAAAAGTTGTAAATAATAACTGTACGGCTCCAAAGCTTTTACTTCTTCAGATTTATTAAAAAAATCTGAAAAAACATCACTAATGTCACAAATAAAAATTACTCTACATTTGAACACTTTGATTAATACTCAAACCATTTACGCCACACTTAAAACTTCATGATTGCAAAAAAAGAATATGAACGATAATTTGATTAAATTACACTGAGTTTGGTATAAATTGATCAAACAATTTGTCCAAAATTTCATTGTCAACTCAACAAACAATGTCAAAAGTAACCTCTAGATCTATGATTTTTGTAGCAGTAATTGCTGCAGTTTTGGGAATATTGAGTACTGTACCAGTACCTCGTAAGTTAGATTCTGCTATTCTCATAATAATTCTTTAAAATTGCCATTATTTCAGAGAAAGTCTTTGACTTTAATTTGCAAAATGGTTTTCCTGGTCAAGGTTATGGATTTCCAGCGGGTAAATTTGGATTTTCAGTACCAGGTTTCCAATTCAATGCAAACGGATTCAACAGCTATCCATTTAACTCATTCTCAGTTTTAGCAAATGGAAGCATATACAATTCAGCAACAGGAAATATGATTAATGGATTTTTAGTTCCCAGCACTAGTAATGGTAATAATATTAATTTTGCTTCAAATCCTGGAGTTGATGTTCGTGTTGGATAAAGTTGAAGTATGAAAAATAAAATAAAAATTGCGATTATAATTTAAATAAGTGCATTAGTTTTATTTTAGGAAGTTGATATTCAATTCTCTGCAATATGCATCAAAACTTAGGTTGTTAAAAAGCTATCTTTGGAAATTGTTATTATCATTTGTAAATTCTCTTCATTTCTTTGGAAAGAAAAAGGCATTCTTAACATCATTATTCAAACGAACTGAACATTACCATACTAAGATTATCTTAGATTAGAATGATGATTTATAAAAAAATCGTACAAAAAAAAAGCCATAATTATTAGTCTTGCATCAAAACGCCGATCATATTGCACGAAACAGCTGATTCCAAGCTTTTTCTCATTTTCTCTCAATTTAAAGCTTTTTGAGCAACATTTTTGATTCTTCTCATTCTCTTCAATAATAGAGCAGCACGGAGAACTGATCAGCATTTTATCTCTCAATGCGATTAAAAAACAACATAAAATTTTTTACCGCGAATTTTTATTTTTTACCTATTCAGTTTAAATCCGATGTTGAGTAAAATCGCAAGTGTTTTATAAAAATCGATCCGAAATATTTATAGTGGATTAAGGATGATAGTTGAAAAATTGTGACTGAAGTTGAAAAAATTCAATTTTTAATTTGAAAAAATATTAAAAAAATAATTCAGATGAAAAGTTTATTTCTAGAAAAACTAAAGTGCTTAGTAACAGATTTATTTACTTTCCTGGAAAGAACAAGATTTTTAAAAATTGCAATAAAAACATAAATGAACTGAAAAAAAAAATTAAATTTGTAAGTCAAAAAAAAAGAAGAAGAAATAATAACAGTACTTACTGTGTGTGAAAATCTTAAGTGCAACAATTCTTTGAGGAAACTAAGAAAAATCCAAATCTAATTAAGGAATAGCAGTCAACTTGTCTCATTGTCTTAGAGTCGCAACACAACAGTGCAAGGTTAGTATCTGCAAAATGAGACAGAAAAAAAAATTAATAAAATTTTTTAATTGCTTTCTGCCTGAAAAGACACATCGAAATTTTCGCACTCGCTTCTTGCTTAATTTGATTAAATAAAAAAATAAAAATAGAATTTCAAAATGTCGCAATTCGAATTAAAAGAATTAATTCAATTATTTCTACTTGCCTTGATTTTGTTTGATACCTTTAAGTGAAACTTATGAAGCATAAAATTAATCGCAAGCCAAACAAAAAGGAACGATTTCAAATCAATATGCTGTTTTGTGCGTACCGAACGATATATGATTAATTTACATGCTCAATGGAGCTAGTGAAATAGAGATTAAGTAGTGTGAAAATCTATTTAATTGTAACAGTAATTGGTTGGCTATTCAACCAAGTATCGCAAGTACTAGCAATCAATCACTGTTGTTGATGTCAAATTGCCTACGCTAAGTTTAAGTCTCCCAAAAGCAAGTGCTAGATATCAACTCTGACTTAAATCACAAAATTTGGTAAAAACTCGAACTTAAAAGTCATCAATCCGATTCCATTTTACCTTTTATATAAACCTAAGTGTTAATTTATTCAAAAGCTATTTTAAAATCACGTCCTCGTTCCTTAATCAATTGTAAATTATTCACACGACCAGCCTAATCAACTTGCATCGGTCGGGCTTGTTCCATTTCATGTGAAAAGTGCACATATTTAATTAAAATTATATGTAACAATCTATCCAACTTAGGAAACTCTATTAAAAGCTTAGATTAAAGAAGAAAGAGAACTAAATGAAGCATGGTTGTAGGCATGAATGAGAAGGAAAAAAAAAATCGTTGGCCAATCCTAATTTTTTTTATATAAAATAAGAAAGACACCTTCTTTGTGTAATTGAAACCTTTAACTATCCATAAGAATTGGTGTGTACATGTGCTGTATAGGATTGTAATAAAACTGTAAACTTGAATGATCTGTTAATTGCCGTTCTCGGCTTTGCATTAGTATAAGCTATCAAATAAATGGGAAACGATAAGTGAGTTGGAGGAAGAGAGGAATTTATCTATTAAGCTGATATTAATTGTTTTAAATTATTCTTTATTGACCATAGAATATTATTACCTTTATGAATTAAGTTGAAGTTTCTTGGTTCTTTCAATTATAGTTTAACGGAACTTTTTTGAAATTTCAAACGATAGAAGTTTGAAAATTCATTACATTTGAATTTCAAAAAAACCGTTGAAAACCTTTAATAATCATGTTATACTTCAAATCATATAAATATCTTTCTATCATCATATCTTATCTAAAACATCCCGGATATAATCAGTGGACACTATAACTTCACAATCTTTTCAAAATTCATAACGAAAAGAGCCAATTTATTCCTATAAAATGTTAAAGGAAGGGCACAATGATCTCATTTCCACACAAAGTGAACAGCAACAACTATATACAGTGCATGGACATAGCAGCACAGAAATATTTTATTTCTTCAATTGATCTCAAGAACGATAATTTCCAAAAGCCAACCGATATAACACAGCAAGGACAAGCGTTACTTAATTGCTGCTCACGATACAACTTTTCTGTACTGGAATTTTTATTACAGCGGTCAAGAAAATAAAAGTACAATAACGTAATTGACTACCATCGATAAAGTTTTGTATTCTCTTTTTTTCGAGGAAATTGTGATTTAATATTTTCACGGGTTCTCACTTAAACCGCATGTCATACTTGCTATTATTAGTCATGTATGCAGTGTCTACTTGATCTTTGTATTCTGCCGAGGGTGTGTCATTTTTGCAGATTGATGTTTAAATTCGACATTAACTAGATTAGCTATTAACTTCTTACTATTATTGCTGTTTTTGAAGTGCCTTTGGGGAAATTAGCTTGATTTATGGACGTTTGAGGATTTGGGCTTCATTTTGAGTGTGTTCATCTGTTATTACTTGAAATATTTTAAGAATTAGACACTATCTTGATTAATCTCGATAAAAGTAAGTTTTAAAATTAATAACTTCTGGATTATAACACCTACAAGGGCGCAGCTAGGAGTGTTGTGGGTCATTTCTTCTTAAATATCCCAAATTTGAGTTGATTGCTGAAAATCTACACTAGAATCAATAATCAATGTTCGCAACTGTCTGGAATAAAAATAGAATTTGACTGTGACTAGGGTATGATGAATCAAGGAGCCCTAGACACCGACCAAAAGCTCCTTAAATGCTTTGGCAATATAAAATTTCAAGGCTGCTCGTGCGAGGCACTTAATCCTTTATAAAATAACAGAAAGCACACAAAATTTACGTACTCTCAATTAAACTTCAACTTATATCTATCTAAGCCTAGCAATAATAAAGATACCAAATGGATATAAATGCTCGAAAAAATAATTTATGCGATTTATGCGCCGGATTTGAAAAAGTAGCGAAAAAAACTTTTATTGTTAAAAAAAATAATAATTTTTATTTCTCAGCTACAAAAGCATGACGCTCTATTGTCGCCTGTCTTTATGACTTTTTCCCGTCCAAAATAACAAAAAAAAAAAGTTTCTCAGTTTAAATATTTTGGTATGTGCATTAAACCTGAACTTCAAAGAGATGTGTACACAAAAAAAGAGTCAATAAAATAGTTTAATGTTAATTTCCGAATTAAGATTAACAGTAGACAATGATGAGCATGAATGGAGACAATGGATTATGTTTGATGTGAGAAAATTGAGACGATTTTGCTTTTGAACCTGAAATGGTGTTGCTATTTAGCTACTTGTGAAATTTATATCTGGTCATTTAGGTTATTAAATTGAAATGGATTTCTTAATAGGATTTAAGGTGGATAAAGAGGTTAAACTAAATTGATATCCACTAGCGCTTTTCATTATCAACTATAGAAGTTATAAGAGTTTGCTATTGAACTGTTTTTTGACAGAAGTTTACCGAATGATACCAATGAGGAACTTAATCTAAAAAAACCTTGAGTATGTCATAAAACTCATTTAAAAATAAGCATTTCTATTATAAAGTCATGTAAATAGCCGCCACAAAGTTCGTTGCTTATCTTTGCATTAAAATCTCTTTTCATTCTTTCTATCTGCCTATTATTCAGCCATATGCATTTAAACTTTACTTTCGGATACATGAAATTAAATTATTCAGAATGAAATTGTAATTAATTTCATTACCCATAGACATCGTCATGAATTGGAGAGCATTTTCTGTAATATTTGTATGCATAAGCAACAATACCACATTTTCGGTCAACAATTGCATGCTATTGCTGTTGCGACTGCCTTGGGCTCGACCGAAAATGTAATTTTTGTTACAACAACAAAAGGTATCGGAATAAAAAGCAGCACCAGTCAAAAAAATGAATACAAAAGTTATTAAAAACATGCTCCGATTTCAAGTTTAATGATATTGCTATTTTTGTGTACGAGAGTCGAGCTTGTATTAATTCACAACAGAAGAAAGAGCAGAGAATATTCAATCTCAGCTTTTTTTTTTTCTTCGAATGACTCACCCAAAGTTCCAATTTGCTAATTTATATTGCCTCACACTTTTACAAGATTGAAATTGTAAGAGAGCCCGAGAATGTTAATAAGCCTTAAGGATTTCATAGTGAATAAAGTTTTAATATGCTACATGTCGCTGTTATAATAAGTATGAACTCATAATTTGTAACATGATATAGCGGAAAAATTGAGTTTTTGTTTTTCTTCCATTTAAATGACTTCTCGCGCGAGGTCTTTATTGATATTCGATTAATTGTAATTTCAATTGAAATACTTACTCGTTCAATGTAATGCTGAAATTTATTGTTAAATGATTCTGCAACTATTGGGAAAGATTTAAAATCTGATGAGAATTTTTCTAAGAATTTATCCCGGATATCTGGGTATGGAAAATTATTGATGCTAATGATTATGAATTATTGGCGTGATCAGTGCTTTTTTTCTGGATTTTTGCTTTGTTTTGAGTAGCTTGTGAGTCAAAACTATCAAAACAGAGGTGAATGGATGTGTTGGAAATTGTACATTTAGTTTATTTTAAATTAAACAAGCTTATCAAGAAAAGGGGACCCTAA